AGTGCCGCTTGGGGCTGAACCGGCGATAAGTTCGGCGTGGGGGCGATCGATCGGGTTCCTAGCCGCCGCCCCCAGACGCCCTTTTGTAAATATTTTTAAAAACATACAAGGCCAAAATTCGGCAAACAAGACAGATTCGGCGATATTTAGGCCTTCCACAGTCTTTATTCATATTGAAAACATAATCTACTAAAAGGAAAAAATAGTCACCGCCGTCGTTGTCCTCCTTCTCCTTCTTCACACCGCGGCCGTCCCTGCTGGACCCCTGCCCGGGGTCGCCCTGGCGGACTGGTTTGACCGGCGGCGGCACCTCGTCATCGTTGTCCTCGAGGATGATGACGCCTCCTTCGTCGCGTCCACGGCGCTGAGCGGCGATCTCCTCTATGGCGTGGCGCTGGCACTCCATCTCCAGCCGGGCCCAGTCCTCCCGCGCCCACTTCATGGCGGCCTCGTCGTCGAGTGCGGCCATGTCATCGTGCTCGCTCTTCGCGGGGGCGAGCCCCGGCTCCATATTCGGCTTGATGAGGCGGGAGGTAGGAGCCGAGGAGGCATGGTCGCCGTCATTGATGACGAGGGCGGCGCCGCAGGTGCGCCAGTCAAGCGGCGTTTACATGAGCTCGGCCTAGACGCTGACGAGCGCCAGCGACCTGGAGGAGCGGGAGGAGGAATGGAAGAGGAGGAAACGATGTTGTAAGATATGATCCTGTCCGAGGACTCCTCTTCTAGGGGAGAAGCTTTGCAGGTACGAGCGAGGCAGACCTGAGCAGAAAAAATACTACTACAAAAAAAGAGAGAAAAGCAAGAACGACAGAGGTCGTTCAAAGCCCAGAGGACGAGGGAAGGACAAATTATGTACATACTATGAGAAAGAGGGTCACCTCATTGATGATTGTTGGAAGGTTGAAAATAAGGAGAAAAGGAATGGTAGGTGGAAGCCTAAAAACAAATCCGGTGGTGATTGTAAGGTCAATGTTACATCTGGTAGTAAGTCTGATTCAGATGATGCTCTTGTTGTTTTTGTTGGCTGTCTTTCTTGTCACGATGAGTGGATACTTGATTCTGCCTGTTCGGCTACAACAAAGATTGGTTCAGTACTTATGAGTTTGTGCAGAGTGGGGATCTTGTTCATATGGGAGATGACAACCCACGTGAGATTGTGCGCATTGGTTCTGTTCAGATCAGGACACATGATGGCATGATATGCACGTTGACAAATGTGAGAGACATATCAGGCATGGCCAGAAACCTCATCGCACCAAGTACTCTTGACGTCAAAGGGTACAAGCACCCCAGTCCAGGTAGAGTTCTGAAAGTATCAAAAGGTTCCCTCGTTCATATGATAGGTGAAATGAATTCTGCTAAGTTATATGTTCTTAGAGGAAGCACTATTACTTGTACTGCTGCTGTTACTTCTGATAAATCTAGTAAAGCCTAATCTTTGGCATATGCACCTTGGGCATATGAGTAAACTTAGCCCGGTAGAATTGACCAAGAGAGAACTTCTAGATGGGTGCAACGTGAATGCGTTGTAGTTTTGTGAGCACTGCATGTTTGGTAAGCACAAAAGGGTAAAGTTTAATGTTGTTATTCACACAACAAAAGATACATTAGGTTACCTACATCCTTATTTGTTGGGACCTTCTCGTAAACCCTCTCTTGCTGGTGCTCATTATATGCTTACCATTATAGATGACTGCTCCAGAAAAGTATGGCCTTATTCCCTGAAAAACAAATATGATGTTTATTTGATACCTTTAAGGAATGAAAAGTTATGGTAGAAAGGCAAACTGAGAGGAAAGCAAAAATACTTCGTACTACCAATGATATGGAATTCTGTTCAAAAGTTGTTAAGAATTATTGCAGAAACTTGGGCATCGTTAGACACCACACCACCCCGTACACTCCTCAGCAGAATGGTGTGGCTGAGCGTATGAACAAACCATCATATCTAGGGTTCACTGAATGTTGTCTAACTCTTACACGAGCAAACATTTCTGGGTTGAAGCAGACCGCCTGCTACCTCATCAACAGGTCACCATCCATTCCATTAATAAGAAAACTCCCATTAAGGTATGGTCTGGTACACCATCTGATTATTCACAGTTGAGGTTTTTTTGTTACACTACATATGCACACGTTGATAATGGAAAGTTAGAGCCTAGAGCTGTTAAGTGTGTGTTTGTTGGTTACGGTTCAAGTGTAAAAGGCTATAGATTATGGAATCATGAAACTAAAATGGTTTTTATGAGCAGAATTGTTGTTTTCAATTAATCTGTTATGTATCATGGCAACTTGTCCATAGATGTTTCATCAGATACTTTTGATGATGTGCCACAACAAGTTACTATGCACGTGGAGCACCTTGATGAGGAGGAAAATTTAATTGTTGATAATGATGATCCACATGTTATGATAATGTGGATGATGATATAAATACACAGGTTCATGATGATGATGATGATGATGATAATGATGTGCAGCACTCACCCCATAACTTTTCATTCCTTAAAGGTATCAAAAGGCATCCAAATAAATTGGTTTGAGGCAACAAAATTAGTGTCTTGCAGCTGGCAGGAGAAAGAGGATCATTAAAAAACCTAAATGCCTAATTGAGGAGTGTGACATTGTTCATTATGCTTTCAGTTGTGTACAACAGGTTGACAACAGTTGTAAGGGCATATTTATCCCTAAGTGTTTTGGTGATTGATGATAATGCTTTTGCGGACTAATCGTGTGCCTTGAGTTTCTCAGTTGCTTCATCGCTAGGCACAAGACGGTTCGGTGCCCCTCGAAGACTATTGAAGACGGCGTTTTTCTACGTTTCTTTTTGGTGGATTTGAGTCGTAGGAGAGCCGTACTATTAAGAGGGGGTCTGTCGGAAAGGTTCGGGTGGAATCATCACGTACACGTTCCCTTCATTGTCTCCACCTTTCCCTTGATCTTTGGTGCTTTCCCCGTTTATCCTCTTTGCAAGTGTCTGGACTGCTGTTGCTGAGCTTGCGGTAGTACTGCTCCCTGGAGCGGTAGTACCGTAGGCACTTGCGGTAGTACCGTGCCCTTGCGCGGTAGTACCGTGGGAGCCCACGGTAGTACCACTCCTTCGGAGTCGTAGTACCGTGGCTCCCTGACCAAGTACCGCTGCTTCGCGGTAGTAGGGGCGTATGTAATTTTTTACATCCGCGCCTGCACGGTAGTACCGCACGTCGAGGGCGGTAGTACCGCGGGAGCCCATGGTAGTACCGCTCCTCTCAAGCCGTAGTACCGTGGTTCCTTGGCCTAGTGCCGCTGCTTCATGGTAGTAGGGGCGGATGTAATTTTTTACATCCGCACCCACACGGTAGTACTGCTCCTTGTGCACGGTAGTACCGTGAGGGATGTTTGCATCGTCTCTTTGTCCGCGGAAGTAGGCACAGTTGTATTTTTATTCATACGTGCCCTTTCCAGACTAGGACTTACCTGCCTCGCGGTAGTACCACAGGTGGGAGCGGTAGTACCGCGCTCGCGGTAGTACTGCTCTCTGTCTGGCATGTTCTAGTCTCTGCAGCTGCCGCGGTAGTACCGTGGTCCCCCACGGTAGTACCGCGTGGCCTTGCGGTAGTACCGCGCTCCTGGTGCGGTAGTACCGCATGTTGGATGTTGTCCCCCACTATAAAAGGTGTGTCTCCTACCTCTAGTTGACCACCT